CGAAATTTATAGAAATGCATAAACAATCGGACTGTTTGTTGCTCCGTCTTGAACATGCCCAGAAATCGTGGGATTTGAGAAGGAAGTGACCGGAGGGAATAAATAGCTGAATGAAAGCTGGATCACACGAAAAGGATCCAGTCTCTCCATCCACCCCTTATGCTTGCTTCTCCTCCTTTTCTTTTTGCTTTCTCTGTTACTTCCAAAACCGCTAACCGAAAGCTCCTATTTATTGTTTGACGATTTCGTGAAAGCAACGCTCTTTCCGGTATTTTCCGGAAGCATGAAGTACAACCAGCACTATGGTGCCAGACATTTCAGGCTACGAATTTTGATTAAGATTTCCTGTCCAAGAGATTACTCTGTCTTGAAACTTTGGAAAATTTCTGAAATTTACAGAATGCTGAATTTAATCATAAAATTGGATTTTTTCGATGAACTTCTGAGACAACTTTTCCACATTTCAACTATTGCTTTCAATTACATTTGAACAGCGAATTTAACGCGAACCAACCTTTAATATAGCTTAAAAGATGTAGAAAATTCAAAAATATTCAGTTTCCGGGGCCTTCTGTTAGCTTCTACCCGTAGGAATAGGAATTATCCCGTTACTTTTTTCTGTCCTATCTTGATTTTCGAACTTGGATCATGACTTGCCTTATTTGAAACCAGCTAGCGTTAACTCTCAGGAAACCAAGTCCTCTACTTTGAACTCTCAGGCTAACACTTGGAAATTCTATTTGTAGAGTTCTTATTCAGCTAAAATTGATGCGGCAATTTTGAATTAAACTTTGCCACTTTCAGCAAACTCTCTCTTCTATTCTTTCTCTCTGTTCCAGCTCCCCTTCCTGAATTATATCTGAGACAACCCATGTGAACATCCCATTAGGTTGCCATTAGCAACCTTCAGATGTCTACTCTATTCTATACCATTTCTTATCCCCTATTCCACTACATCCGAGAGAAATACCTCATCTTCCACAACATCTCTCAAATGATCTATCCACGCCATGTCACAAATGCCTTCCTTTCCGTCCTCGGGGAAGTTATCCGAGTCACGGGAGTGCTTCAATTTTTCCGCGTCCTATCAAATACTTTCCCGATTCCAGGATTTTGAATATTTTCATAATGATTACGATGTTGTGGCAGTTGTTAAATAACAGGTGAGGTGTATTTTTCGTTCATTGCTTACGGATGAGGTAACCGGCAGAAGGAAAAGGAAAGAATTGCATGTTTGTGTGCATGTGAGGTGTGATGTCACTGTCAATATCAACGGTGCTGCTGCTGCTGCTGCCACTGCATTGCTGATGATTGTTGTAATGAAGAGTGAGGGTAGTCTTCAGCTTGGCTCAGTTCTGTCCAGCTCAGGTTGATCGGTTTGGCCTTCCGCTTCCCCACACTTTCTTACCACCTTCAACTGCCAAAATACTGCATTTGCATTGTTTACAGTGACATTCCAACATTTGTCCATTACTTTCTTCACGTAACACCCGCGTGGGAATCACCTCGTGTGGGTGCTGTGCGGGCGATTTATTGTGTTAATATTTCGTTAGCTTTAAGAAGATTGTAGGAAGTAAATCTGCGATCAGTATGGGGTTATTCGCTTACATTTATCCATTGAAATGTTCGGGAGAAGTAACGTGAAAGAGGGTTGTTTGAGATGCCGAATCAGTAGTGATTAAAGTGAGAGGAGAAATTAGTCCATCAGTTATGGAGATCCGTTTCGACTGGAGATCAGCTGATGTCATGGCTTCAGAAGGGAGCTTCTCCGTCTCGTCATCTAAAGGTCCATGGTGGTGGTAGTGGTGGTGGTTTTCGAGGCGGGTGGCACCACTACTCACCACTACTGATTGCAATAATCGGTGACAACTGGTTCTGTTGTGAAAATAGGGCCAACATCGCTCGCGGACTGACAGTCAATTCAATTCACAAAATGCAGTAACACACACACCGTATCGATGATATGTATTCGGTATGCAGCAGAACGTGGAGCGACATTGGAAGCAGTCGTCGGGTCTTCGGGTGTTGCAGTGAGAAGCTGAGGCCCCATCTCACTGCTCATCATCACTTTAAACAGCCTCAGATGGTTCACTTTTCCTCCCTTCTGTATTTTCCTCTTCTGATCGATCGCCTCACCAAAAATGACAATTCCCTCTCCCCTTCACTTGCTGAAAATGGATGAACATTGTGAAATTGCTTTCAATTCCTCAATTACCGGGAAATCTCGCGTTTTAAAAAATGTCACCCTCACAGTATTCGCAAATCTGAGATGGAGTTTGCAAGTAATACAGATGTGGCCATCATTTCCCAACAGATTTCCCGTTTCTCATTCCTCAGTAAAATCTCCGGTTTGACCCATTCGGTCACTGTGCACCGTTGTTCCCTCATTACGAGTGAACGGAGTGATCTTCTGTGCTGTGCAACACTCTTTCCTTTCTCTTCCGTTATGCATTTTCTCTCAAAAATTCCTCTAGCAGATTCTCTCAGAGAGCGAGAATCATTTAAATTGGAGAAATTTATGAAGCGATGATGATGA